TGTCTACAAAGACCACTCGGAAGTTTTCCATTTACATTATAGATTCTTTGCTGACTACTTATAACGGCAGTGACTTTCTTTCCGACAATTTCGAAAGGAATTATTTCAAATCACGTCATTCCAAATAAAACCATGAACTCAACATGAATCTATGTGTTAATATAAAATAAGCAAATATTCGAATTATAAATGATATTTCGTCTCCTTGTGGCCCTTTGGTCAAACTGACGAATGTATCTAGTCATGCACTTATTCGTTGGCACTTGGTCCTGAGTAGCTCGTACACATTTTAGAAGCCTCGATGTGTTGAGTTTAGTGTTCGACTCGGATGTCCTGAATGACACGAGAAACCCTTCCCTTTTTTAATCAAGAAATCCTTGCTTAACTTAACATTCCAAATTCGGCCTTTCTTGATGTGTGGAGGCTCAATAACTTCCTTTGCCCGAGTTTCGAATGAGCAATCTTGAGTTACTTTACTTGAGCTTGGTGATGGTGATGAGGATGACGATACTAGGAAGCGGGGTTTGTGCTCCCAGGCCCTGCAGACTTCCTAGTTCCTTAATTCAGTGTAATACAATCCTTCTCTCGGAAGGATCAGGTCAGTGACAATTGCCGCTACAATTTCATTCCATAGGTTTTTAATGTATGTTAGGTTATATCTCCATACAGACGTTGCTTCGAAGATGATAGGGTGGCTGTTTCCTCCTCCTCATTGCATAATCTGCAGATGGGATCATCGTTATATATTCATGTTGTGTAGATGTTTTGTCAGATGCCAGTGACCGGTTAATAGTCCTATCACTCCTCTGAGTTTGACCCTTTCTAATAATTGTAGCAGTGAGTTTGCCAGTGGGGGTGTTTTATCATAAGTTTACTGTGTCTAGCGCAGCTGGAGTTTGTCCACTTCTTCTTCTGTTTTATTTGGATCCATTCTACGATGATGGATTCTGTATTTGTTTTTGTTATCCAAACTTCGGGGCCTGAGTATGGCTTTGCAGGTCCTCCTCTGACCAGAGGCTATGTGAGGCGTACAAGATGTTTTATTATCACCTTCCAAAAATTTACCATTTACCAGTATGGTATGTTTTATTTAGGATAAGAGCTTACCTTGTTAGATTTTAGTCTGGCTTCTTTAGAAATAGAAGAATTTATTTTTAAATAAATTACTACTAGAAAATACCCGTGACTAGACACAATCTCAATGTATAAAAACTAAAAATTTTCTTTCCGTATGTATATACATCAGAACCAGAGATATAAATTTTAAAAAAGTTAAAGGGTTTTCGTTGATTTAATTCTTAATTTTCCCCATATAATAGAATAAACTTGAAACATTGCTGACACAAGTTGAAATAAGCAAACAAAAAAAGCATCATTCCAATAGTTATAATAACAATGAATTGGGATTCAAATTTTCAAAAATCTTCAACTTTTTTAGTTTATATTTCTGGTTTTGATTTGTATGGGGAGACCAAATTTATGTCATTAAGTTAAAATACGTAATTTTATAACGTTCTTAAAGCGGGGAACACACTTATCCTATGCGACGCTACCCGACGCAAATCCGAAGTCCATTTTTACATAAAATTGTATTAGCCCGGTGCACATCTGCCCGATGCCACGCAATGCTACCCTACTCTACGCTTTGCGATCCCCAATTCCAGATTTTCGTCGGGTTGCATCGAGTACAGTCGAAAACAAAAGAACCGGACACTCACATTTTTATTTAAAAACTATATGTATTATTGTCGTTATATTAATTACAACATACTTATTTTAATATAAACCAGATTAAGCGACATCAAAAATTCATTAGTTTTTATTTTTAAAATTTTTTAATGGTTTGGTAGACAATTGATCAAAACCCGGAATACCATTTTTTGACATAATGAATTTAACTATATATACAGGGTGAATTGCTACTCGTGCTACAAACTTCTCCAGTAGATTCTTCACCCTAAAATGAACAAAAAAGTTCATATTGTCCATGGTCCGATTCTCAACCATTTCAGAGTAATTTCGCTTTTTATCGATTTTGAAAGATATCACGTCCTGGCGTCGGAAAATCGTGATATCTTTTAATCTAAACATTTCTCTGAAAATCTAATAGCACCGTTGAAATTCCCGTTAATTTTTCAATAAGAAGATGACGGTGGCAAAATGTTTGGGCTAATTTTTTGTGTTTTATTTCAGCCAGAACTACAAAAAGAGTGGAAAATTGTGTAAATCGGAAAGTGTATAAAGTAATCCAGAGTTTCTAATTTTAGTCTCAGAAGGCAGCAAATTTGAGGAAAACTACCTGATTTAATAACGCTTCCAACGCACTCGTCATTTTCTTATTTAGTGGTTGTGAGACCAAGATGTTGATGACAAAAAGAGAAAAAATGGTGGTTCAAGGATTGCTAATGTTTGAGAGTGACTTGCTACTCGTGCTACAAACTTCACCAGTAGATTCTTGACCCTAAAATGAACAAAAAAGTTCATATTGACCATGGTCCGATTCTCAACCATTTCAGAGTAATTTCGCTTTTTATCGATTTTGAAAGATATCACGTCCTGGCGTCGGAAAATCGTGATATCTTTTAATCTAAACATTTCTCTTAAAATCTATAAGCACCGTTGAAATCCCCGTTAATTTTTCAATAAGAAGATGAAGGTGGCAAAACGTTTGGGTCTTTCTTCCTTGACCTTCTAGCTGTTTGTAAACTTCTTAAGCATTACATACTAAATGGGCATTAAATTAAATTAAAAAATTTCAATGGAATTATGATTTTGATTCTCTCTAAAAATTAACGGGGATTTCAACGGTGCTTATAGATTTTAAGAGAAATGTTTAGATTAAAAGATATCACGATTTTCCGACGCCAGGACGTGATATCTTTCAAAATCGATAAAAAGCGAAATTACTCTGAAATGGTTGAGAATCGGACCATGGTCAATATGAACTTTTTTGTTCATTTTAGGGTGAAGAATCTACTGGAGAAGTTTGTAGCACGAGTAGCAATTCACCCTGTATACACTTATCACACTATGCGAGGTAGTGCCTTGCCGTTTCTTCTTTTATTTCGCAGAAGCGGAAAAAGGGATCTGATAGGATACCCATTACGAAGAGGTGATTTATTGAATGAAATTTAACTAACAATTTATTTCATGGTTTTGCTCATAAAATTACACCATTTTCGTCGAGTAGCGGCAGAACAGGACACTCATATTTTTTGTAGTTTATGTCAAACTATGTATATGTCATTTTGTCGTTATAATAATTGCAACATTCTTATTTTAATATAAACCAAACTAAACGACATCAAAAATTCATAACTTTTTATAAAAAAATATTTAATTATGATGGTTAGAGAAAAAATTTATCAAAACGCAGGAATAAATTTATTTAAAACAGTTTAATTTAACTAACAATGTATTACATGGTTGTGCTCATAAAATTTAACTAACGATTTATTGCGATTGTTTTAGTGATTATTGTGATACACGCTTTGGACTGTTCGTGACGCGCGCTTGACGTCGCATAGATGTGCACACCCTACCAAAACGAGACGCGCGCTTGCGTCGCATAGATGTGCACACCCTACCAAAATGAGACGCGCGCTTGAAGTCGCATAGATGTGCACACCCTATCAAAACCAGACGCGCGCTTGACGTCGCATAGATGTGCACACCCTACCAAAGCGAGACAAGGCGTCGGGTAGCGATACTTCCCGCACGTGGTAAGTGTGTTCCCCGCTTTCGCTTAAAACGTTAGACTTCCGTCAGTACCATTCCACCACACATTCCTTCTTGTTGCAGATACCAATCACTACGACTTAAGGTTAAAACTACTCAAACTATTTAAGGTTAAAAGGATTCGGATTCTAATAGCCTTACACACCACGACCACTATTGGTTATTTGGACTCTATTATTAGCTAGAACCCTTCATTAAGCTTAAGGCATCATATCAAATTTTATCAGGCTTTTTTTACGGGTTTGTGGATCCTTCCTGCTTTGGTTTTTCAATTCCGAGGAAGGAGTACGTATCCCACCCTGCTGGCTTTGCGCCAATGCTGTGATGTGTCTGCTTTTATCTGGCAATACCTGCACCGAATTTATCCATATGCCACCAGTGTCCTGTCAGCGCAGTCCTAACATTAGTGCTCACACATCCTAGTTTGTTTTAGTTTTTCGAACCCCAACCCACACGACCGTCACTCAACGATCATCAGCAGACCACCACTATAATTACTATTAGTTATTTTTAAAAGCCTAAGGACAATATTGTCTGTTTTACAACAATAATTGTTTTGAAAGTAAATCTTTCCAATACTTCTCAGACGTTGAATTGTTACTAGCTAAACAAATCCTTATATGCAATTACTCTCTTACCCTCAAGAGAAGAATTGCAATACTGAAAACAGAAACTCTCAAGAGAGTTAGTTGTTTGTATGAACACTTGACTATAAATCCTTCTTCGCATTGATGCTTATTGTCTGAACCAGGACTTTCAACCCTCCAAACAAACTGTCAATGAGGGAAAATTTCGCCAGAGTTCATCGACGTGGTGAATGTTATTCTTTAATTGCAAATAAAACGATTGAAAAGAGACATTTTCGAGCTATTTATTATTTTTGTTTAATAATAATACATATATGGGTTTATTTTGAGCGAGGAGAACCGCTACTGTATATTAATTATTCTCTGTGTTTATCATTGTACTTGTGCTCTCAAACCCAAAGTAGAATCGCCTTTTGATAATAGCGTTTATGTTTGTTGGCGTGGTTAATCATATAAATTTGTTATTCACAAAGACCAGAGAGAATCAGAGAGAGAGAGAGAGTCCATCGAACTCCCATATAATCTCCCTAATTAGAATTGCATAAGCGGCTTTTGGAAATACACAATATCTATTATGTGTGAGTCTAGTATGTTGCATTAATATTAATATATCAATACATGACAAAAACATTTTCAACTATTCATACTGCTTTTGTATTTTTCCGAGCTACTCACCACGCACTGAGACGCGTACCACATTCTCCAAAGCTGAAACAAAAAAAGCCAAGTATGTTCAACACAATATAGCCAACAATTAATTTTGTCATTTGATAATAATGTATAAAGTACACAGCAATATTTTCACTTATGCTTAAAAAATCTTAAAAACTCGAGGCTAATCTAGTGGCCCGGGAGTACGCTCTAGTACAGGCCTTATTAAAAAGCCGTTTCATCCAAAACCATGGTCGCATGATCATGGACGCATCCCGTCGGTATCACAGACTTGGAAGGCGATCCAGTGGAAAATGATGGCTCTCCAGAAGCAACGGTATACCCATGAATAAACAAATAGACTGTGCTTTCCTTAACCAGAAGGACGGTACCGACTTGGAGAGCGATGCAGCAACATCAAGACAAACCAGCCGGCAGTATTAAAGTTTATGTAATTACTACTCATCAAAGGCAAAATAATGAGAACAATTTCTCACTAAACACCCCCGGTAGACTTGCATGAGCAATTACCCTACGTCATCAAGGGCGTGAACTATGGAGCTTGCAAGGGTATGTGACATCACTAGGTAAAATATACGACGTTCGTCACGACTCTCCTTAAAACGTCATGGAGGTGGAAGAAAGAGAACGTGACCAAAAAAAATGTGAACTACCCTTGTCCAAGCTCCGAGGAGGCGGAAGAAAGAGAAAAGTGACTTCACATGGCAAAGGAAAGAGGGGGGGGGGCATTACCATCATCAAACCCGTCGTGATGGACGGGAGAACAGTGACGTCACAAGGCAAAAAAAGGGACACTACCCTCGTCAAACCCCATGATGATGGAAAATACAGTGACGTCAGACTTTTATTAATTTTAATTGATAATCATTTGAAAAAAAGTATTCTTAAGCGGTTTGACCGCGACATCCTGTATGACAGGAAATGCTTAACAATTCAAAACATGTTGACAAAGTGCAGATTAAATTATGAGATTCCTCCATGTGGCCGGCGGGGTGATGAACACGTAGTTTGGTCGTTCCTATCATTTTCAGCTATATATCCTACCTGGTTTTGAACATGACGAAAAGCGTTTGACACACGAAAACAGACCGCATTAGGAAATGTCACATTTGAAAATATACACGTAGCCTGGTTAGTTTTTTTCATGATTGAAGTTGTACATAATCGATTCACTAATCTCGTGGTCCGCTTGACCAATTAATACCTTACAATTAATTAAGGTTTTCAGTTGAGATAAAAAAGGAGGGAAAATTCAAAAGGTGCGGTTGGGATGGGCAGTTGGTGTCTGAATGGATCGAGGTCACTATAGCTCAAGTGGTAGAGCAGCGGCGTATCAAGCCGAAGATCGTGGGTTCGAATCCCGCTCGTAACACTGGCTTTTTATCTCAACTGAAAACCTTAATTAATTGTTGTACATAATGTTTTCCATGCCTTAAGTATATATTTGTATTTTTTTATGAGGATACATTTTGATAGAAAACATCCGATGCCATCCATCTAGCACGGAAAACGGGACTATTAAAATAAGCAGATTGCATTATTTATTTCAAAACCGCTTTTGGGGTCGGTTAAGCTAAACTTAAAATTGCCGAAGCACGTGGCGTTATTAAACGAAAGAATATCTCGTAAAGGAATAATACAATAAAAGTTTAGAACTCAATGGCGTACAAAGTTAATTAAAAATATAATGGAACGATACTCACTCTCAGTGGCTATTCTAGCCTTCCTGAAATCTCCGGAAACAATGGCCAAAGATTGGGTAGGCAAGTGAGAATCGGAGGAGAGTACCTGCAAATAGCCGGCGGAATAAATTCAAAAGGTAATCCGGCCAGGCCGGGCGGAAACGCCATAAAAGGGACGTTTATGTTGCTAAGGAAGTCCGCGGGCTCTAACAAACACAGGAAGTTGGAAGCCCGCACGTTGAAAAAAAGTACATTGAGAGAGAGAGAAAAGGGTCGGAGTGTGACGGTAGTCGGAACCCAAATCTTTCTAAAAGGGTTTTAAAAGGGATTTTTTCTTACTGGCTCCACGGTGATGCCCCTATACAAGGAAAACAACAGATACGAAACACTTTTAGTTTCATTTATGAAACAATGAAATTGCCCTTGACACTATTTACAAACTGGAACAAATTACAGTTGTGTTTACAGTCAAAAGCATATACCCACTAAACTGCGTCACACATTTTCACATAAGAAAAACTTTCTTAAAATGCAAAAAGGCATTAATGTTTATATAAATTGTAAAATTTAAACATAAAATTCTAAATAGAAAAATTCAGCAAGTACAATTGGTACAAGTGGTAATTAGTGACCGTTAATCCATAATTATTCAGAAATCGTGAGATGCGGTCGGGTGTGATGTAGGTTTCAGAAAAACATTTTCTTTATTGTGCCAACGTTTCGATCTTTATTGAGATCATCTTCAGGGCCTTGTGTTGTCTGCATTTCAGCAAAAAAGTTCTCTGGTTGATAGCCGATGCGAGTTTCTTCTCATTGTTGACGATGTCCTTCAGAGTACTTTTAGCTGCGTGTCCATATGCAGTTGAAATTTGTTCATAGAATCCCATGTTCTTCGTTCTTCTCGTGTAGAAATGTGTGGTAATTAGTGACCGTTAATCGATAATTATTCAGAAATCGTGAGATGCGGTCTGGTGTGACCTAGGTATCAGAAAATCATTTTGTTTATCGTGCCATCTTTACCTACATCACACCAGACCGCATCTCACGATTTCTGAATAATTATCATATTTGGAAGGTTTGAAATGTGGGAACTTTTTCTCAGAAAATACTACTCCACATTGCAAATAATTGAAATAATTAAAAATATACCATATCACCTAGCCCTAGTCCTAAACTTAATCCTACCTAACCTAACTATGACCTGACCTACCTAATCCTAACCTGTCCTTACCACTAAACCTAACCACTAATTTAACCCTACCTAACCAAAATCTGTTCATCCACATATTTCACAATTGCAATTACAATTAACCAAACCTAACCCTAATCCTACTTAACCTAACCATTCCGTACCAAATCTAACCCTAACCCTGTATAATTTAACCATTCATGACCTAAACCTAAATTAAGTTTTTAAATTGTTTCGTAAGGAAATAAATTTTAAATAATTACATGTTTTTCTCAAAATACAAAATAAAATATTTGCATTAATTTTTCGTTTCTATCAAAAATACAAAAGTCAAGTATCCAATTTAATTAGCTACAATTCGTTGAAATTTTGTTATAATCGATTCATTAAAATAGAAAAATTAAGAAATAAGCAGTTTCCTTTGGTAAAATATTTTACTAGACTACTCCCGTTGTAATTTGATTCTTTTTCCTCCACAAGAAACTATTCAACGTAAAAATATTCTTCGCGTGCTGCATCTCATTCGTTAATAGAAACACATCACTGCCTATTCGTCCCAACCTGGCTGGAGCAACAAGGTAGCGTGCAAGACCACCTCCCCTCAACCTTTTCAGCATACACTTCTCATATTCCAAATAATTCCACGCTTTCGGATGGAACAGTCGTTCAGGACTGTTCATCCAATCAGTACCCGTCGCCATTCATTACTAACTCACTTAAGATCCCTTGAATCCCAGTTTCCAAAGCGGTGGATTAATATTAATGCCGGCAAGAGCCTCACTCTCACATTACAACGCGGTATTCTAGCCTCTATTATCCCTCTTGGAACTCCGGTAGCGGACTGCAAACCGAATTAAATATTTATTCTACTTGACAAAAGACTTACTTGTAAACCTACACTCACACGAATAAGTGTTACACTCTCGAGACTATTTCAAAGTCCTTCAATTTTAAACATTAACAAATCTATTCACGATACATTTAAAAAGTTAGATACAATGTTAAAACCTGTCTAGACATGGAATTTTGATTAAAGCTTTAGATTCTGCACGTCTAACCAACGTCAAGTTTTAAAAATCTAAATAGATATCTCTAAACATGTTCCCAGAGGGGCGTTGACGGCCGCAATGTTAAGCCTAACCTAAATTTTCTACCTAACCATCATAATAATTTGTAAATAATATGAATAATTTTGTATAAAAACTCATGAATTTTTGACCTCGTTTAATATTATTTATATTAAAATAAGAATGTAGTAATTAATATAACGACAAAATTACATACACATAGTTTGAAATAAACTCCAAAAAATATGAGTGTCCTGTTCTGACGCTACTCGACGAAAAGGGTGTAATTTTATGAGCAAAACCATGAAATAAATTGTTAGTTAAATTTATGATATCAAAAAATGGTATTCCGGTGTTTTGATCAATTTTCTACCAAGCCATTAAAATTATTTTTTTTAAAATGAAAAGTAATCAATTTTTTATCTCGGTGAATTTGGTTTATATTAAAATAAGTATGTTGTAATTAATATAACGACAATAATACATGTAGTTTGAATAAAAAATATGAGTGTCCGGTTCTTTTGTCTTCGACTGTACTCGAAGCAACCCGACGAAAATCTGGACAGTGGGGATCGCAGAGCATAGAGTAGGGTAGCGTAGCGTGGCATCGGACAGATGTGCACGGGAGTAATACAATCTTATGGAAAATGGACTTTGGATTTGCGTCGGGTAGCGTCGCATGGCGTAGCATCGGGTATGTGTGTTCCAGGCTTGAGGCGTTGACACGGCGCTTATCACTGTAATGTAAAGGTCTTGGGTTCGAATCTAGAGGCCCTGCATTCGAACCCAACATACTTACTAATGGACTTTTTTTGTAAAAAACACCGGCACCCTGGGGGTTTATATGACCTCTGCTGTTGCGGAACCTCGTATTTAAAAAAAAATAAAAATAAACATATTCTCAACAAAACACTATCCGAGCCAACGGTTACCAACGCGATAAGCTCCAAATATTGAACATATCTTACAAGGGGAGGCTAAAGACGTGAGAAAACCGATTTCATTCAAACATTTTTTTCCGTAAAACTAGACAAATATTAGACCAATCCTCCTTGGCAGTGGGCCTTAGGAGTCAAAAAAAAATTAAACAATTCGCAT